TAGTTCCCATTATGTTGAGTATGTTCATCATAGCATAGCTAAAAATCATACAGTGTCATCTCTAATGTAAGCAAAAATGTAAGGCACATACAATAAAGTCAGCAGAAGTTAAGTCAGGCAGAGAGAATGCTGAAACGAGATAATTTAACTTGTTTGGTTGCTTTCTAGAAAGATAAAAATGAAGATTGCACGCAAGGGCACAGTGGGTATAAATGTCTGGTACTATATAAGTATATAGTATATGAGAACTAATAAATGTAAGAATGAATAATTGTCTCAATTATTTAAAAGGCTTTATTATAGAGGCTGTTTAGCCAAACCACTGAAGTTTCTTAAGTGTTACTTCATTTTTGAAAAATCTCTTAATCTCTTATCTTTCAAAGGTATGCACAATCTGGTGAACCTTGTGAGCTCTAGGAAACAAGATGTGCTGAGAGACTTGTACAAGGTAACTCCACACCCACAAAATGAGCTGCTTGTACAGCCTTAAATTTATTAAAGCAAAATAAGTTGTTTACAAAATTTCCTGCGTTACCTTAAGATAGATAAGATAAATAAGTATTTTTTCCATTAAGACCTCTGGATGTGATTGTGAGAAAAAGGGAACAATGTGTCACGTTTAAAACTTTTGACAGATAAGCTAAGTTGGATAAGCTATATTTCAAAGCTTGCAGAAAAAAATGAAAAAAAGGCTTGTTAATGAGTTCATAACATGTCTTTATATTGTGTTATAAGATGTATCAGGGGCGAAATCCACTATCTGTACTATGGATGAGGATCACTGCCTCAAATCTGTAGAGCACCTTCAGTTTCCTTCAGTCTTGACCCAAGCAGCCCCTCTATATTAAGAAGGTCCTACCTGAAGTCACAACCATGGCCCCTTTTTCCAGATGAAAGAGCCCTCCATATGTATCTGTCTTTCCAGCAGCTGCTCAGTCCAGATAGGCCGACTGGCTGCAGCTTCCATGCCAGACACCCTGGCTGCTTGCTGGTGCAGGCGCTGGGGAGCCGGATGTCTAACACACATGAAAGGAATAGAGAGTGAGCATGTTACACTTCTGAATGATCCAAATATTAGAATTAGCAAAGCTAAATGTACACAGAGTCTAAATGTGTGGCAGACCATGTTGTGTGCTGGCAGGTGGAGATTCGGGCTGCATCCGGTAAGGTTTCTTATACATCAACCTTTACTTTATTCGGAAAAATAAGCAATTCCTCTCACCCATATAAGGCTATAATGATTTATTTGTTATTAGTTCTTTGACAGAAAATGATATCTAAATATATACTTTCTTTGGAAAAAACGTGAGTTTTTAAGGAAACCATTACTGCTAATGTAAGACTGTAAAACTAACAGGAGTATATCAAATCACAGCAAGGGGACTTTCTCAGCTGATAAATAAACAGAATGTGGAGACATCTCACTTTTACTTTTTTAATGTCATATTAGGATGGAGATATAAATCAGATAAATCCGTTGGGATGTTTTCCGTTATCCATAAATTTGTATATTTAGAAGATAAAACTTGCCAATAAACTGGCAGAATATCCTTCTTTTTTCAGATCCTCTGAGCATTGCATGGTGTGTGAAACAACAAAAAAATAGAATAAACTAATTGAGACCTCATGGGGTTTCCAAGTTATGCTGTATGAGGAGAAGTATCATTGACCATTACCAGAGGTGATGAACTGGCCACAGTGTGGGATGGTGTTCTCCCCCCATTCTTTACCACCTCCTCCGAAACTCTACCGCAAGAAATTGCTGGCATTTTTCATGAATCATCAGTGGCACTGACACACGGGAAACTATTAAACTAAAAATAATTGATTCAGCCGCCCTGAACTTTGAAATGCAGATACTTTCATACACTCTGGCTTGAGCAAGACAAGTGTAAAAACAAGTGTAAAACCCCTGTAAGTCGTAGACACGACAGAGTTAAACTTTTCAAGACTTCACTTCCTTTTTCTCAATGAAACTTGCTATATTTGCCATCTATCATTCATCACCTCATGTCTTTAGTTTACTAGTTCCTGAAAGCATAACACATGTATACTACTAACCATGCTACTAACCCTTTAAAGCCTGGTACAACAAAAAAATTGAGAAAATTCTCTTTTTTTGTTGTTCGTTAGAAGTCTTTAGTTGACCCTTCAGCAAAATATGAACATAAAAAACAGAAACCCATAATGGCATATAATTATTATTGTGTAGTCTTCTGTTGTCAAGCATATCTTATTGTGTACAACAGGGTTTTGAGTATATCTTTACCATTAAATGATGATCCTTGATCATCTGCAATCAACCAAAGTGCATTGAACATGATCAAGATCAGTTTTTGTTTATTAAATCTACAATGTGGCTGTCGTGCCACCGTGGGTGCCCCGAAAGAGTCTTCAGAGACCAGGAGTTGTTGGTTTTAACTGGTTTTATTGAGCGTGTGCGCATACACACACACACACACACTCTTCTTACGCACACACACACTCACGCACACACACACCCAGCGCTGCTCCCCTGAGCCTCCTCACACACCTCCCCTCTTCAAACTGTTTCACTGACTGAGATAGAAACAGGTGGTTTCTCAGTCTATTCCAGTTCATAAATTCATAATTAATGATGAAAAAAAGGTGTTAATTTAGGTTTCCATTACTGCATACATCATCTAACTTCCTTACTTTGACTCAGTATTTAAAAGGCAGTGAAAGGAAGATAGTGATCATGTAGTCACTCACGAAAGAGACGGAAGAGAAAGAGAAAGACGATAACCCAAAATGATGAAGTATGCGTTTGCGCTGGTACTCTTGCAACTTTGTTATGTCTCTAATTCAGACATGAACTTGAACAATGAGATTTTTCAAAGTCTGGAAGGACTCAGAAACTTGACACATGTAAGTATAACGAATTACTTCTATAACTCTGTAAATATGTATCACCAATCTTTATTCATCTGTAACTTAAGATCATGTGTAAAAAAATCAACAATAATTCAATAATCAATAAATTCATTACTGTGTCTCCCCAGCTAATCAAAATCAAAATCGATCGTGTAAGTGTTGCACTTTTCAATTTCCTAAAGTTTTTTATATGCTTCTTCATATGCTTATCTATCTATCTATCTATCTATCTATCTATCTATCTATCTATCTAT